TCTGCTCTACCTGCACATGGCGGGTGATCCGCGAATTATGGGACACCCTGTATATTAAATTTTTTTAATGATTGAATATTATTATAATTAATAATCTTTTAAATGTTTTATTTAAAGTTAAAGAAGAGACGAAGAATAGGAAAAAGAAATTGATAGAGAGAGGGAGAGAAAGAGAAAAAAAAAAGAAAATGAAGAACATGTTATTTAAAATTAAAGAAGAGGTAACATAAGCAAAAGAGAGAGAGATAGAGAGACAAAAGGAAAAAAAAGGAGGAGGCATAGAATATCAGGTAATGATGTTCAATATTGTAATATTATAATAAGATTGTTCAATATTATTAAATTTATTGTTGAATATTATTAATAAATATTATTAAATATTATTAATACTATTAATATTTTTTAATATTATTAAAGTTATTTATAATATTAGATATTATTAAATTATGTAATAAATTTTATATTTAGAATGCTGAATCTTATTATTTTACTACAGTTTTATTATTTTTAATTTATTGTATGTGTGTGCTCTAATATTTATTAACTGATTTATTTATTATCTTAATTCGTTATTTGAAATTAAAAAAATGACATATTTTTTAGAAATATACAACAAGATTAATAAGAACGGATATTCTATCAACACGTATTTCCAGTCGTGCAGTCATTTAACACCGGCCTTGGATTGAAGGCTAAAACACAAGTAAAGATACATTTACTCGTACATTAATCATTCCAGTTAGATTGTGTTATGATTCAGCGCTTGATAATGAAAATGGAACTCATCGAATTCTTACGAAAGTATCGCTCCTGTATTTTTATTTCTCTTCTGTATAGTGATAAAAGCAGGATTGGGAAGTAACGCGTTATTCAAATCAAATAATATATATAGCTTTATTACTCTTGTCTTTATTACTATAAAAATAATCGGTAGATGTAAGCAAGAGTTATATTTTCACGGTGTTTTAATATGTATATATATCTCTTCAGTTTCTTTGTAATAAAACATATTTATTTTTTCTATATTTATAATAGATTATACATTTTAAAAACCTCGAGAAGAATTTTCAAGTTTTAAATGTATTTACGTACTCGCTTGTGACGTCGTCAAGGACAATCCTTTACTCGGAACATTGATTGCGCGTATAATACCTTTTCCCAAAACATAAAAATCTTCAATCATTGCCGATACATTTAAAACGAGTTTACCATCGCCGTTTAGTTTCCTGCAATCGACATCTGCCACTTTAAAATCTTTGTATTCGAGAGCAGCAGGTTTCAACAGAACTCCGATCACCGTACCACCATAAGTATCGTGGAAAAATAAGGCATAGTCACCGTAACCGTCCTGGAGAAATAAAAGAAAAACATGTGAAATACTTAATAGTTAGATATCGCAATAATTTAAATTGCGACGATATGAATGTTTTTTTTCTCTTTCTTTTTTTTTTTTTTAAGTGCGCATGTATCTTCATTTAACAGTACAATCGCTTGTTAATTGTTAGTTAATTATTGTTAGTTGTCTAAAATACTAACTCTTAGATCTTTCAGGAAACATTGTACAGGATCAAAGTCCGTGACTGGAATTTTTTGAAGTGAATGCGCTTTGTACGGATGTAGATCGACGATTTCCGCGTTATTGGATACATCGACCGCTTGCAGTCTTCTAGGGTTCATATTTGTTTTCAGATATAACAAACAGTCGTATTCTTTTAGCGAAGGACGAAATATAGGTTTTACATCCAGAACCGTATTATTTAACAATAGATCATCAAAAAGTTTCAATGATTCCTTCGCAAGTATACTCATTCGATTTAAGATCAACTGAGATGGTGCTTTCCTTGTCCACAAGGATTTCTGCTGATCATAAGGGGTAGATACAAATAAAGGTGGTAGCGAAGCGCGAGTTGTATTAAATAATGTTTCTATGGCGGAGATTTCTTCTTCTGGAAAATTTAATATAATGTATTAATATATATTATTTCAATTAATTTAATTAATTAAAATTAATTAAGATTAATTTCATTTAATAAATCCAAAAGCGATAACATCTTTTTATATATCTGAATATAAAAAATCTCCCGGAAGAGAGAAAAAAAAAGAAAGATATCTATATCAATTAATTATTTCAGTTAAGTAATTATTTTATAATAATTAATGTTAGAAAAAAAAATATTTATAATTACAATGAAAAATTGGAAATATATGAAGATGTCAAAACTCACTGGTCATTTCGCCATTGAAATTAACGATGACAGGATCGGTATTCCAATGAGATCTTGCAATAACTTCCAAAAATCTTAAAAATGCCACTTGCGGCATCTGAGCAGGTTTATATGGTTCTGGCGTCAGATATATCGACGCCATAAGCAATTCAACTACAACTTCCGGTATGTGAGTATCATCCAACAGTTGTGCCGACAGCCACCGTTTTGTTAAACAGCAAGCGGGACCAAACGACGGTTGTTGAGAATGCAATCTATGAAAGTGAAAGGTGAAGATATATAATATGCTGAGCATGTTTATTATATTTGTTGTGCAGAGTTTATCTATTGTATAAATTGTTATAAATATATTCTTTACTCAATCGTCAGTAAATTTTATTGAACTTTTGACGTATCACGGGTTTTACGTTTATAAAAATATAATTCATGTAAAAGATCTTTTATATATTCTATTATTAATTACAATAACGCGCGCGCGTGTTTCTTATGTCAAGGAATTTTAGTTGATATCTTCTCAGACTTAAATCTAAGCCAAACAATTGACTCATCCAAAAAAGAATGTTGTTTTCAGAAATAAGGGATTCCAGTTTTTCATGCATTTGTTACAAATTATTCTAACAACTATTAAGCTCATCAATTCTTACCCATGCAAAGCACTGCTCAATTTTGGTAAATGGAATAATTTATTTTCCAACTCAATAGATTCTTCATTGTCTTTGTATTTAATCACTCCATCTTCCTTGACTTGCTTCACTAAAGCAATTTCCTTTTGATGCGCTACTCTTAACCGGAAAACAAATCCGTCCTAACAAAAAGAAATTTTTTTATTCTCAAGAAAAACTTAAGATTATAATTATATTATAGCATAAGATATCATACAATATATATTTATTTACAGTATGATTATCGTACAATGTATATTATGAATACTATAACAATATTCCCTTAATACATAAAATATCTATTTATTATTATTATATGATACCTGATATACATCAACATAAGAGGGATTGGCTTGTGCTTTCAGTTGATGCTGCTGTCTAAGGCATTCCGCGATTTGTATGTGAAATGCCGCTTTCGTTTTTCTAATAGCTTCCAATTCCTCGGGCCACTTTCCACTGATCGATAATTGTAACGTCGCATCGAGCGCGTGAACATATGCGGGGCATTTTGTGATTTTTTTCGAAAGGATCAAACAATTTTTGCCCTCCTCAGTGATATCATTGATGCTCCGATGAACGGTAGCAAGCGGCGGAAAGACTTCTGTGTATCGAAAAATCGGACTCGAGCCTTGAACACCATTAATTGTCAGAGGCATATCATTCAGTGACATCAAATTCTTCTCCAAGACGTTAAAAGCTTGTAAAGCTTTCAGCGTAGCTTCTTCACCAGTGCCATATATAAAGTGTGTTATTTTGTACTAGAAAATATAAATCATGATTTATGCAAAATATTTGGAGGTAATGATAACAATTGAGGAGCAAACACGTCAATTGAAGACAGAATTTGCCTTTAAATATAAACCATTTCCATAATAATTATTTCCATAATAATTCATAGTAATTGTGAAATTACCTTGTGCAACTTCAGCAAATTTTCCACTTGATCCGCAACATACAAATATTGATCTTCCAAAATATTAAACTTTGTTTTTAGTAAAAATGCTATTATTTTTTTGCATATTATTCTCTTTTGCGCGAAAGATTTGCCTTTTGACCAAACCACAGCCTCACGAATGGAACCATCTTTAAATCTACGTAATTCAGACTTGACGCCCCAAAAATTTCTAAAGTCGACTGCCTGTAAAGCAATACAAACAATTGTATTTTGTGTCTGTCATATATAATATAATAATTTAATAATATATAATATAATAAAAAATACTGTTTTATTGTTTTAGATATTATTTTAACTGTTTTTGCTTACTTCTGGTAAATTTGCTTCAGGTCCTTTGTCCACAATGCCAAAACATATTTCAGGATTCAATTCTAATCCAATAATGAGCTTTCCAGTATCATCTGGGATATCTTGGGTGCATTCCCATTCCTTAGGTACATTGGGTAATATGCACAATCGATTAATTCTGTGTTCTAGACCTTTCTTTAAAACTTCAACAAGTAGCTTGATCACCTGATTACGTTTATCAGGCCCATAATTGACTTTGTCATCAATGCTAGATTTTTCAAGGATTTTTTCTGAAACTGTCTTGTTCTGAAAACTATATATAGAAATAATAAATTATTAAAATATATTTAGCATTCTCTCTATAAAAATTTATATAGAATTTCTTCATACAAATTACCATAAGATTTGATCAAATGCTCTATGAAATGGTACACTTCGCATAAAAAGTGCTTGAAAACTGTCCATATGTATACTATCCAAATGATTCAAACAAAGTTCTGCTTCTCTCTGCGCCCATGCAAAAGTATCCTTTGACAGATTCGCAGCAAAATTGTGATAACCGGTACTATCAAGAAATACACAATCATAATAATTGTGATAATGAGAGACTTGTTTCTGATTATCTTTGTCCTCGCACATGGTGATTCCATCCTTGCACCAATTTCCCTGTGCTATTTCAAATAAATATAATTATTATCTCGAACAAAACATAATACAAAAAAATAGTGTTGTTTATTTAATAGTTTTTCAAGATACCTAAGCAAATCCAGACATTCCGCACAACTTGATAACTACTCATAAATGTATTAAGTTTTTTCATTCGTAAAAGATAAATCACAAACATTGTGACGATATGACCGGTGAAGCCGTCATATCCTTTACTCAATTCGCGTTGATGCAACCATATTTTCAGCAAGATTATACCGTCCCTCAAATTGGGATACTCTCTTATTGCTTGCACCATCTCAGAATTTATACTTGGCATTACTAAATCACACAGTACTAAAGAATTATAGTGAGGGGTAGGCGATAAAGATGCTGTGGCTAAAATAAAATATGAGAAAGACAAAATTATACAATAAATAATTTTCCATTAATTGTCTGTATAGACTTACCATCCAAAGATTTCTTATCAAAATACCATGCTGGTCTGACACTATTTTTCTCTGGCAAAAATCTGTTTAGTTTAAAACTAGTTTTCTGCATAGATATGTGTATTACTACATCTATCTTCTTGTTCAATTTTCCACTAGGCCGAAGTTTCAAGGAAGGTCTTAAATCATCGCCGATAAATTTTTTGCTCTCTGCGAGATCGCTCCCTATAACTGACGTTACAAACGCCAAATATGTTGCTCTTTTTCTAAAATATATGTAATTCTGATAATCTTGTTTGCGAAATAAACTAGCCGGCATTTCTACCATTATATCCACAGTAACGGTAGGCCCAAGAATACATCCCGAATTGTAAGATCCAATCACACTAATGTTAGATGGTTTTAAAAACTTGAAAACACCTCTAGTTTCTTGTGGTACATGTGGTGCAGGAATATAAACGTCCAATTTATCACCCAAATCATTATTTACAAGCTGAAAAATTAATATATAACAAATTATTTAATATTTTGACATTACATTTTACATAAATAACATAGATTATATTACTAACTGGAATTTCTTCAGTCTCCTCAATAGATTCAATTGCTGCTTTCAACTTCTTGAACCAAATTTCAAATAATGCTTTGTATTTAGTTTTAAGCTTTACTTCATTGAGAATCTCTTCAATTTGAAGCCGGAACAAATTTGAATGGAATAAATTCTCGGTTTCCCTAAGCTGATTGAGTTCTTCAACTGTCGGCTGCTTATAAAGACCATTTTTGAACTTTTTTTTAGTAACTGCTTCATTTAATTCATCTGACACTTCTTTTCTCTTCTTTTCTCGATTCATTATAGGAGTAATATATGGTGTAAGTAACAAAGTGTGCTATCTTCTCGGACGAATTTTCGTCACATTCTGCTTTTCGATTGTCGCCATGTGATTAGATTCACGCACGACATCTATCTCTTTTCGTTCTCTCCCTAAAAAGCTCATCGTCATTGAGCATGAAAATTGATAGAAATGTTCGGTAAAAAAGTTTTGAAATTTAATTAACCAATCAGAACAAAAAAAACTAAAATTTCTTTATTCTGATTGGTCAGTTTTTAATCTATTTTTATAAAGAAGAATGTGATCTGTGGAATAATTTTCGCGCTGATCAGTTGTCGGCAATGGATGTTGACATTTTCGGCCGTCAACGATGGTCAATGGCAGCAATGGCAGACAATGGCGTATGTATAGTACAGTAGACGCACCTGTGTCGAAGTGTCAAAGGAATCTCGTGTATGCTATATCGTGTTTCGCATCCGGGACCTGTCGCACGATGGCCTCGTAGAAAGGGAGAGTGACTTTGACGATTCGAGAAGACGGATCCACGCTACTCGATCATTCACGGATGTTTACGACTGGCATGTTAAATGGAAATGAACGTGGAAGTGACGGAGGTGACATCGTCCAGGGAGGCTGACATCGGCCTCACTGCGGCGGATTCATCGGTAGGTTCCGGCGACGTTGATGTAAGGAATGACAACGAGGAATCGATGAGCGATGAGCCTCGTGCTCGTGCTCCCGGCAACGGTAAAAACGCAGAGGGAGAAAAACGCGAGGACACCGCCGCGAATTCGTCGCGAGCGACTCCGATCGCGGATTGCGAAATCGAATCGTCGAGGATATCTCAGACTCCGTTAGCCTTCACCATCGATTTTGGTAACAACAAAGAAGTGGACACAGCTAGGTATCAGAATCTGTTCGAGAGGTACAACGCGAGGCACAAACGGAATCTCTCTACGTCCAAGGTATTAAAAATTCTGTGTGTGTCATTTTTGACATCTTGTAAGTAATATATTTTATATATTTAAAAATACGTTGCAGAGAGAGAATCATGAGTCTCTTTTACAAATCTTCTCTTCCGTTGGCTTTCTTTACAATAGATCATACAGGGTGTTCAGAAAATAACACTATACACTTATTTCAAATATTTAGAAAAAACATTTATCAAACATTATTAGCAAATTAGTCTTTTCACAAAAGATGTTGGAAGTGTCCTCCACAAGCATGCGAAAAAAAAACAAGCCTTAACTCTTCTAATCTTGTAATCAAAAACCTTCTTCAATTCTCCTGGTGATATGCCTCTGATTAAAAAAAATTAATTTGTTAACGTTTGATAAATGTTTTTTTTTTTTTTATATATTTGAGATAGATGTAAAATTACTTTCAAAACATCCTGAAAAATAAAATTACCTATTAATTTTATAAATTATCATTCTTGATATAATATCTTGGTATTGTATGATTTAAGCATAACGTTAAATCTTCTATTAAAAAATTTTGTTATTTATATATATTGTAAAGCTATATATTTTTAGGTAGAAGTAAAAATAAAGAAGCCGAGCACTATACTATCTCCAAATTTGGGACAAAAGCAGAAAGTTTCTAGCACTCATTCAGAAGGTTACTTTAGTAGCGAGGATGATACGAAGCGAAAAACTGACCAATTATCAGAAAGATTTAAACAATTAGGTAAATTTATTAATAAATCATTTTTTATTTCGTTTTTTATTTTAAAGATTAAATTAAGTAATATCAAAACACTAATATGTTTCAAATTTTTTTAAAATGGTAGTTTTGTATTATGTGTGCATGTTCCAATTATTTTACTTTAAATTAAAAAAATAAAATTTTATTGATGAAAATAATGTAAATAAATTAAAAATTGGTAGCAATCTTTTCTAATGAAAAGACTTTAACATGAATCCTGTAATGGATTGTATTGAATATATGTGATGGATGAGTCATGATGAAGTCATGTTCTTCAAGCTTCTTAATATTCCTTACAAGTACTTTCTACCTATTCTGAATGATGTAGCCTGCTGACATATTAATGACTTTGATGCTATAACTGTTTTTATATTGTGTGATTTTCTGCCAGAAATAAACACATATCAACAATTTTATCGTTGCTTTTACGATAACATTATTATTTTTAAGTTACATACAAGATATATGATATGTCAGCAAGTACATATTACCCTTGAATTAGAAATCTTTAAGGTCAACTTAGAAAAGAAAAAGAATTATATACATATGCATTTATAAATAATAAAGTTTCATTATTTTTTATATTTTGTCTGATATTTATCAAAATCTAAACTATACATATGTATTATTTAGGTGTGAAGAATCCCTCGAAAGCACATTGTAGCACAAAGACGTTCGGTAATGAAAATGTAGATCATCAGAATAAACAGTATTTAATGACGAGATCTAGCGATGGTGAAGTACGACGCAACAAATGGTCACCTCAAAGCCTCTCTTTGGAACTTGAGTCCAACAGAAACAACTATTGGACATCTCAGAGATCCGCAACGATAAATGATTTAAGTCGCGTTCAAATTAGCAATTACGACGACGACGAAAACGAGAAGCAGTACACGAAAAATATTGAGTACATTGCTAACGAGTGCGAGGAAGCAAATGATTTCGAAGATAATAAAATATCTAATATGAATTATATCACCGATGATTTTAATATAAGAAACACAAACGAGAGAGAGAGCACTTTGTCGAGTGTCAGTTATGCGATGAATCTGAACACGGATGATATAGCAGATACCAATCTGGAAGTATTCAATGTCAGCAATGTCGACGCCACTTCCGACGGTGCGGTGAGCGAGGCTGGGACGTACACGATTCATAAAGATTATACCGATGAAGAAAAAGCGAGAATGGATATCGACAAAGTTTTCAGTGTCGGTGTTTTGACGGAAGACGAAAGCAACGAGGCATATGTTCACAATTTCAAGGTAGATACACAATATCTATAATATTTATATATACACATATATGCATATAATTTTTTGCACAAATATTTAAAATGTCAATCTTATTTTGCAGATGAGTATTTCTCGTGATAATAATGCCTGGATATCGGAATGGGCTACTCAAGTAGCAGAGCACAATTCACTACCTCCGATAATAGGCGGTTCAACAGGTCGTACGCCGCCTCTAAGTCCCACCAAGATACCATCCCCCATTCATGCTAGATCTCAAAGAGGATTACGTAATCGTTATGTATGCATTATGCAATTTTAAGAGATAATAAGATATTTTTTAGAGAGTAGGATAATAAATTTTATATATGTATATATATATATAAATCGAAAGAGGCATCTCTCCTTCTTGGAAGTTTAAAAAGCAAGATACATGTTTTTATTGCTTGTCTTTTCAGATTACCTCCTCTAAAAAATTTATATTATTTTGTTTGCAGGAACAATCCGACAGTAACGTGGATACGGATTCGTACATACGAATAAAAGAAAGGATTGGTTTAGTTTCAAGTCAACATCAAATTATAGACTCCGGCGGTGAATCCGATGACGATACCAGCAACAGTTACAACACGCCACCCAACAGTTCACAGCGTACACCTGTACATAGTGCCGTAGGTAGACGCGGTAGCTTGTCCGACTCGTTGTTTCGGCGAGCGAATAGCAACGAAAATAGACGCAGCATCCGAAAATACTTAAGTTCAACCAAATCGAAGACTGCTGACACTAATGTAGAATTATCGAACAGCCCGTCCCAAGTCTCGTCGACTCTTCGTTTGGAGAGAAGAAGCAACTCTCTAGATAGGTGATTGTGATTCATTTTACGTTTCTATTTGCCACTGGCAAATATAAATTTTGATAACTATATATAATATAGATATGATTAGCGAGTTCTTTTCTGCACTTTAAGAAACTTTTCTTTTCTCTAATATAGAAAAGAATATGCTTCTGATACAACGGAATCTAATACGTCCAGAAAGAATAGTATGAAATATAAGGAAGACGATTTCAAGCACACAAATAGTCCTGTCTTAAGCCGTCTCAGACCACCTACGTCAAAACTGACCAATAGTCCAATTGTGAGTCGTAAGGTTGCTGCAACAAAAGTCCTTAATTCTCCCATTTTAGAGAGATCTAAGCACTTGACAAAGTCATCAGAATCGAAAAATATAGGATATTTTACATGTGTTGAAAATAGGTACAAACTTTTTGTAGACACATTAATTTTTAAACATATATTAAATCTTAAAAAGATTAATATGTTTTACGCATGTTGATTTATTTTCAGTCCATATATGCTGAGAAAATCCAACAGCACTACAAATTATCATGAAAGAACCAGTTATTTTGATAAAGACATATCTGTTAAAGCACCTAATATATTACAAAACAGTTCAGAATTTCAACGACATCTTAATATACAGAGATCATCGAGTAATGCGAGTATTAGAAACATAAGATCACAGAATTTTGTATCGCGTCGCAGCAGTTTCAATAGTAACGATATTGACAGAATATCATCGAGAGGAAAATTTGCTGTTGCCTCCGATAGTAGTAGCGAAACTGGTGAACAACAAAGAAAATCTCCTTTGACACCAGTTTCATCTGGAATCAAATTAAATAGGGCTTTCAGCATAAGAAGAGCAAGGTGTGTGTCATATAAACTAAATTTATCAAACATTATTAAAATATGATGTTCCAGAACTTTTCTGCTTCATCTTGTATATAAACAATTAAGTTAAATGGATACTTCTTACAGATTAAATTGTGAATCCGACACAACACCGAATACAACCCCTGAAGAAAGACGTAGAAGAGCGCAGTCGGAAGTAAAAACTGCAGTGCCTGTGAACAAGCAACAAAGTTATCATCGTAGTCGCACAAACAGTGTTGGAGCGCACAATAAAGAATCATCGAAAAAAGCAGAACCAACGAAATTCAGAGCACCGTCTATGTCTAGGACTGATACCGGAAGGTTTAGTATGAGAGCCCCGAAGCCTACTCATGTAAGCGTCGCGTTTATATAATTATATTACACTCATAAGATATCTTGTAAATATAATTTTCTCCTCTTTTTCCCTTTTTTTTTTTAGCATCCTCCCAATAGCCAAAAGACGAATCAAAAGCCAAGTAGAGATCACAAAAAATCTGGTAGAAGTAATTCCACTCTCACGTCCAAGGAAGTAGAGTTTCAGAATTGGAAGAGACGGAAAAGTTACGATCCGATGAAAGCAGCAGCTGAAGGGAGAAAAAAATTAATGGACAATACGAAGAAACATCACAGTACCGAGGACGGTTCCGGCAAGTGAGTATATAGTAAATATATAAAGTTTCGCCCCCCCCCCCCCTCTTTACAATCATAATTTGTGTATATATATTCCAGCCATGACAATTCCGTGCTGAGATCTGCAAGTTTTCACGGTACAGGAGGTGCTCTCTCGTTAGCAAACGACTGGTCGGATAATGAATTAGATTACCGTTATGAGGATAATCAAGTACCGCCGCCTAGCAGTCCGCAGCTTGGAGTAAATATGCTTTTAATCATGCTTAAGAATCCATAAGTCTCTCGCTAATAATTTCAATTGTTGCGATCATTTTTTTGCTTATTTTTGTATAGTTTTTTCAATGAAATTCTCCAAACAATTGTATAAAATGCATATATAAATTCTCTTTTTTAGGAGAGCGATAGCGACTTGGAAACCTCATCTTATTTGCAAACCACTCAGAACGTTGTATCTGCCATGTCGGCTCGCATGACGGGATATCGTCCTCCGCTGGAATCTGAAAACGAGAGCGATGAAGATACGAGTCACAGCCTCCGTCAGAATATATTGAAAGGAATGCGCCATCCGAGCGACACCGAGAGCAGCGACGAAGAACATGCTATGGCACAATCTCCTATTTCCAGTACTAAATATAATAAAGAATTTAGGTATGTGCGCGCGTATACATCTCTCTCTCGTGTATTGTACTTTGATAATATTTCTCTTTGATAATATTCTTATGTATGTCTCGTTTCTTTTAGTTTGCGTAATAGAATAAAATTGGATCCGCAACGAATAAAACCTGTATCTTCTAATGTGAGCAGAGCTAAAAATTTATCGCAGGACACTCGTAGCAAATCTGAGACCTTTTCTAACGTTGCTAGAACAGAATCTGGACGATCTGGCGCGCGAATTAGTAGAACTTTGAGCATGGTAAGTTATATATATATATATATACATATTTCTCTCTTCCATATAATATTTTTGATATAAATCTAGTATATAATATGTGTGTGTATATATATGTATGTTATATACATATATATCTAATAAACCTGTTTGTACAGGTGCCTAAAAGTAAACCAAAAGAACCAAAAAAGCCCCCCACGCCAAATGTACGAGAGGTCGAAATGCAAAATTGGAAACGTCGCAAGAGCTACGATCCTATGAAAGCGGCGATGGAAGGACGGAGAAAAGCGGGCTTGGCAAAAAAAATTATTAATACAAATCTATCACCGAGGTAAGTTTGTAATAAACCGAGTTAACTTTATATAAAAGAAGAAATAATAGAGGAATTTTCCCAGACAAGTTCAAAAGTTATCAGAAAGATATCTTTGGGCTTTTGCATTATGTGGATTACTTTATTATATTCAACTAATTGAGAAGATAATAATTTTATTGTTGTTAGGACCAATAGCGCTTGATAATCTAGAAGTAGTGTGGCAAAATATGCAAGTGGTATGTAGCATAAAATTGTTTGAATATTTTATGCTATATATATATATATATATATATATATATATATATATATATTCTCTCGAGAGGTACATCTCTAATAGATATCTCTTTTGCTTCTTAAAAATATGAAACATTTTTTACTGACACAAATGCTTGTTTTTTGTATTGCACTGACTTAGAGTTTTCCTCAAATTGAGATTTCCAAAGTGACGAAAAAAAAATACTATGTGTGCCCTAATTCTGCATTAGTTCATCTATTTTAATGTTGCATTTACATTCTTTTTTTTTATCCATTTGGTATTTTACCAATTATAATGCCATAATCACATAACAGATAATCGAAGAAATGTTATAATTGACTGTAAATATATAGCTATTTAATCATTTTTGTTTATCTAATATTGAAATGTGATCAAATAGCCAATTTCAGCTATGATGAACGATTGTACGATATAAACACGCATTAATAAAGCTTCTTTTCTTTTGATAAGATAATATGTAAATAAAATGTGAGATGTTTGCGTTTTTTTTTATTTACCCATAATTCAATGTATATATTATACATATATGTTACATATATTTATATTTGATTTTAGCCATGTAGCAAGATCACAAAGTTTTCATGGATCAATAGGATTAGCAATCAGCGACTGGAGCGATGAGGAACCGGTCATATCCGCAGACGAAGCCTCTCTATATTAGGATCGTCTCAGAGTTATTGTGGGTAAACAAGAAACGAACAAGTAGTGAAAGTAATATAAAGCCAATTACAAAAATTCTTGTATATAAATCGCAAGAATGAAAGAATTTTACAGAATGTTATATATAAGAAAATGAGCTATATATCTAAATCTCCTATATATCTAAATCTATCTCTGAAACGATTTTAGCGAGATACAAGTGTAGCTCTACTCGTAAAATCTTCTCTATAATATAAATTTTGCGCATTGAATCTCGCACGTTTGTAAAAATTTCTGAGTTAGAAAAAATTGTGCTTCCCTTCCAAAGGTGATATTTAAAAATTATATGCCCAGAATTTGCTATATTAATGTTAGAACGTCCAATTGCTTGTATTTATTTAATTTGTAAAGAAAAAGACGTTCTTTTTTTTCTTTATTTATATTTTTCATTATGTATAAATATGCAAAATATTGCCTAAATGTAGTTAAAAAATGTTTTTTATGAATAATAATATTGAAAGGAAAAAAGAAAGAAATAAATATATAAAGGAAAATCTCACACACAAGATGTCCTAATTATTAAGTGAGAAGATGTGCAACAACATATATGATATCTAATTTATATAGAGAATACTAAAAGTATAAAGAGAAATATATGTGTGTCATTGGTTTAATTACGATTGGACCAATCGCGTAGCGTTTATGTACAAATATTTGTATTTATATGGCATCTTGCTCCATCAATGCAGCCAATTTATCTAACTATAAGATATATACATGTCCTCGCATTACTCGAGTAATAATATAATCTAGGAAGAATTTTTTTTCATTAAAAGCAAAAATAGAGCAAAACCTGAGAAAAGTCTTTACAAATCTATAAATCTTTTTTGTTCTATTAGATTATGATCGAATGACGTACATTATATTGTTTGTAATTGTGAATATAAACTCACATCGGTGACGCTCGCAATTTTTCTTTGTTAGAATAATTATTGATATAGAAAAAATAACGTGCTACATCCTACTTCAACTTCAAAGCGCGCAAAATGAATTAAAATTTTTTCTCTATGATAATTTAATGTGATCATAAAGAGCTTTACGGTGATTTTAATCATTAAGATGTATATATCAATATCGATCAGTTTAATTGTATATTCTTTCTTTCAGTTTTACATGGAAACTAAAGAATTTTTTTATGATTTGATTCTAAATTGAATTATCTCTGTAACATACTCGAGCAGTTAATATTACATGACATATTGATATAACATAAGACATATTTTATATATGAATACTTGTTCAGAAGATTGTCATTTATCACTTGTTTATCATATATATAATAAATTCGATGAAAATTTTATTTGAATTTCCTAGAGAATTTTGTAAAACTTACTCAAATTTGTTGTGTATATTGCAAGCATTATGATAAAGAGTTATATTAATGCATTCTTTATTGCATAATTCTTAAAATAATATTCCATTATCCTTGAACAATTTTTTATCTTTTTTTTTTTGATAATCATATTTCAGTATTAAAAAACTGAAAGTTTAGATTGAGATATAGATTTATATTTTCTTGTTGATACAATTTACAGTTTATTAATTTACAACACACTTCTCAGCATGTGGAATAAAGCATTATAATTATGCAATAAAGATTACAGAAGAATGTGATATTATGACAGGATTAAATAGTTACTGAGTTGAACATGATAATAATATAAATTTGTTTGTTAGAAATTATTAAGTATAAATAATACCTCTGTATTTAAGTCTCGATTATGTATATATGCTTTTGATTCTAGAAAATTCATTCTATATTATACAAAATTTGTTAATACTATTACAAATTGTATAAAATGTGATGGGTTTCTATATATTAAAATTCAAATTTGTTTTTAATTATATTCAATCATTTGTAGCAAAATAACTCGGTATCTTTTTTTCAAAACGCATTATATTTTGCGAAAGAAAACGTTTAATTATTCGATAGAAAGAATTTATTTCATCTTCATATAAAATATGTCGCGTATTGGAAGTTGGTCCTTTCGTTAACAAACTTATGCATATAATTAAAACAACATGATCTTGTGATCGTACAAACAGTCTTCTTATAGTACTAGTGTTCTCATATTTATTTCGCGTTCTTGTTTTTTTTTTTAACAAAAACGGGCTTCCAATGTGCACACATAACACAGACCATTATATCTTCAAGATAGATACATCACAAAGTACATAAAGCATTACATGGATATATTGTATCATTTTAATTTTATAATTGGAAGTATGAGGATTAAAGAAAAACTATATTCTATTTCGTTTATGCACACACACAACTTTGTTGTGATTTTTTTCTATAAAAATATACAATAAATAGAGAAATCTGAAAGTCTGAATTATTCCTAAAGTTGATAAAAATATTTGCCATTAAAATCCTCACTTTTCTAAATCGATTTATCAAACAACGATATATGTATATTCATAAGCATTTTTTTGCCAAAAAATTTTTAAGTGTTTTATTGATATATCTTTGCATTTTGTATCATATCGTATATTAAGCAATATCGTATATTAAAGTATTTTCTTATCAATATGATCCGTATTGTGTTTCTTTGTACACACATTGCTGTAATAAGATATATGTATTTGGCATCTTGTTTTTTGTCGCAAGCACGAAGAAGCGCGTATATACAATTGTAATAAGAATGGGATATATTTTTGTATATTCAGAGTCTACACAGCTATAAGCATATTAAGTTCTATTCTACATAAATTTAATTGGCTAATTAATTGGCTTTTATTAGAATATGTACAATTGCGAAATATAAGACATATATATATGGATATATTCCATATATGTATGGATTTTTTCTTCTTAGATGTTTATAAGTTGTACAGTGATCATTTGTGAAAATTGAGATATGAGTTGTAAGAACAATTAACTGTAAATGAAAAAAGAAAATAAAGCTGGAGTTTTTAAAATTTAAAATTTAAAGTTTTTATTTGTATTACCTCTCTTGCTTATCACGTCCCCGATACCTCGGAATTTAAATTTGTGTAAATATCGGTGGAAAGCCAAAAATTGGCCCTACAGGGAGAGTTTTTTAGCGGGTGCGAGTCCCGCATATCCCACCAGACCGGCCGGTGGAAATGCATAATGCATTTTTCTCTTCCTTCGAAACAAAAAAAAAAAAAAAAAATTCTGATATTTGTGCGGATTTTGAAGCTTTAAATTTTCGTGCTTCTTGAAATTTTACTTTATGCTACCTCTTTGCTGATCATGTTTTCCTGATACTTTTGCGGATCTCAAAGCTTCAAATTCTCGCTTTTTAAAATTTTGGTTTGTGCCATCTTTTTGCTGATATGTTCTTTTGATACGCTACCTCTTTGCTGATCATGTTCTCCTGATACTTTGCGATTTTCGAAACTTCAAATTTTTGCGCTTCTTGAAATTTTACTTTATGATACCTCTTTGCTGATCATGTTCTCCTGATACTTTTGCGGATCTCAAAGCTTCAAATTCTCGCTTTTTAAAATTTTGGTTTGTGCCATTTTTTTGCTGATATGTTCTTCTGATACGCTACCTCTTTTGCTGATCATGTTCTCCTGATACTTTTGCGGATTTCAAAGCTTCAATTTCTCGCTTTTTAAAATTTTGGTTTGTGCCATATTTTTGCTAATATGTTTTCCTGATACGCCACTTTTTTACTGATCATGTTCTCCTGATACTTTTGCGAATTTCGAAACTTTCGCACTTTTTGAAATTTTATTTTATACTATCTCTTTGCTGATCATATTCTCCTGATACTTTTGCGAATTTCGAAACTTCAAATTTTTGCGCTTTTTGAAATTTTATTTTATACTATCTCTTTGCTGATTATATTCTCCTGATACTTTTGCGAATTTCAAAACTTCAAATTTTTGCGCTTCTTGAAATTTAAATTTTACTGAATTTTTACTTTATGCTACCTCTTTGTTGATCATGTTCTCCTGATACTTTTGCGGATTTCAAAGCTTCAAATTTTCGCTTTTTAAAATTTTGGTTTGTGCCATCTTTTTGCTAATATGTTTTCCTGATACGCCACTTCTTTACTGATCATGTTCTCCTGATACTTTTGCGAATTTCGAAACTTCAAATTTTTGCGCTTCTTGAAATTTAAATTTTACTGAAATTTTACTTTATGCTACCTCTTTGCTGATCATGTTCTCCTGATACTTTTGCGAATTTCGAAACTTCAAATTTTTGCGCTTCTTGAAATTTAAATTTTACTGAAATTTTACTTTATGCTACCTCTTTGCTGATCATGTTCTCCTGATACTTTTGCGAATTTCGAAACTTCAAATTTTCGCACTTTTTGAAATTTTATTTTATACTATCTCTTTGCTGATTATATTCTCCTGATACTTTTGCGAATTTCAAAACTTCAAATTTTTGCGCTTCTTGAAATTTAAATTTTACTGAATTTTTACTTTATGCTACCTCTTTGTTGATCATGTTCTCCTGATACTTTTGCGAATTTCAAAGCTTCAAATTTTCGCTTTTTAAAATTTTGGTTTGTGCCATCTTTTTGCTGATATATTCTCCTGATATGCCACCTCTTTGCTGATCATGTTCTCCTGATACTTTTGCGAATTTTGAAAGTTTAATTTTTCGCACTTTTTAAAACTATGGTTTGTGCCATCTCTTTGCTAATTATATTTTCTTGATCTTAATTCTAAGAAATGCAGTTTCAGAAATTTTAAAAACGAAAAATTAGCAAAAATGTATCAAGAAAATATAATTAAGAAAGAGATATATGTGGCACGATAAGATGTATGGGAATAGATGGGTATGTTCAATAAGAAGGCATATGCGTTTTGTATTATTAATGCAATTTATTAGATATTTTTAAAAATTACAAAATATAGTTTACAGATTATTATCGATTCTTTTAACGTTTTCGAATGAACGGGTTAATTCAATCCGGATCAATTAATCACTATATTTTTACTATGAATTCAAGTTTTTTATTGGCAGAGACGATGCAATGACATCATTAATCGCTCTCAAAGCGATTAAAGCTGTTACATTCGAAAACGCTATTTTATATATATACATAATAGATAGGTATTCGGTTATCGGACGCAATCGCTCGCGTTATTAATAACTACATTTTGCGCACACACTCACACACGCAGTCATTTTTATATTATTATACAATAATACACAGGAATTTTATTACGTATATACATATATCGGATATCGGACGCAATCGCTTTCACTGTTACATTACATTTTGTAACACACACGCGTATTTGTAACACATACAATCATTTTCATTATTATACAATTATACAATTATCCCTAGGAAATAGGGAATAGCGCTACCCAACTAGTTTCGCGAACGTTAGCGCTAAACAGTGCTGATAGTGAATTCTTCGAACACACTCACTGTGTTAGAAGCGCAAAACTTTGTATATTCGTTAGTTTATGTCTATGAAAAAAAAATTACTGAGATCATCTGTGATCGAGATCGTGAGCACGTGAGATCTTGATTTTCAGTAACGAAATGTTATGTAGCTATTCTAAATATATATCAAAAGATATAAACAAATGCGTGACAGAAAAGATTTATGAAAATTCGTGAATGTGAGTTTGGATGAATTTTCTCTTTCTTCTATGTGAGCTTAAAATATGTCTACAAGTTCTGAAAACTGCTCGAAAATATTTACTTCGAAAAATACACGATATTTTTTAACAATACGTGAGATATTAAATATTTGTATGAATCGTAATATTTTGTAGATTATCTCTATTACTTTACAATGCTTTATAGGATTCTTTTACTTATCTAATATATTATTTACATTTCTTTGAATTATTATAAATAATGATCGTTCTTAATATTTTTTAACTTACATATAAACATTTACAGATTTTATCTTATCAGATATTAATAAAAGTCATGTACGACGTCACTGAGACAATTGTAGCCCAAGCTACAGATCCGAAAGTTGCTTTTATAGCTGCAACTGTCTTTGGTTATTGCTTGTTTAGATTTATGGGCATGATAAAAGACAGAAGTCATCAATTTTCAGAAGACTCTGAGGATGAAATGGATAATAATGCGGTAAAAATATCAATTCATCTTGTTATCAATTGCTTAAAAAAACTTCATTCAACTATTAATAATTTACAATATTTACAATTGCGTATTTTTTGTATATAGGTATATACTGACAAGTACGATAATTATAAGTTGATTCTAGTAATCAGAACAGATTTGAAAATGGGAAAGGGAAAAGTGGCAGCGCAATGTTCTCATGCTGCTGTTGCAGCATACAAGGCTGCCAGAAAACATCCAAAAATTTTGGAAGCTTGGGAAGAGTCTGGCCAAGCTAAAATCACCCTTAAGGTATTGTATCTAAATTAATAATAGATGCTGATGATTGATATAAAAGGAAATAAAGAGAGAAAGAATATATTTTCACAAAATATGATAAATCTGTATTTCTTCTATCTTATCAATTCAATATATTAAAAGAGTCACAATACGATCTGTATAGATTATGAGGTTTTAATAAAAAAAGAATGTCATTTGACATTGTGAATAAATATATTTAAATATACATACTTGAAATAAATATCTTTTCACACACCTTTTATACATATGTATGAAAAAAAAGATACTCTGATTTTCAGGTTGATAGTGAAGCTGCTCTTGTGGAAATAGCAAAGCAAGCTAAAGCCATAGGTCTGTTATCGAACATTGTACAAGATGCAGGACATACGCAAATAGCAGCAGGAAGTAAAACAGTGTGTGGGGTCGGACCTGGTCCAGCAAAATTGATAGATCAAGTAACTGGACATTTGAAGTTGTTTTAACTACTCATCAAATAAAAATCACGATCTTTTTATTATGTACTTTATGATTTTATATATATATATATATATATATATATATATTTATCTTTTATTTTTTATATCATCACACATATTATCTATTATTTAAATTATCAGTCTGTCGTTAAAATTTTCCAGTTCCTATATATGCAGAAAAATTAAACATGGTAAAAGTAATGTTAATATTTCAAATTTTTAATATTCATGTATGTATATATATTGAAAAAACTATTACATGATCTTTATTATCTCTCTGTGTCGCTTTGCAAAAAATAGAATTTTAAATTGATGTTCTTTTGAATAAGATATTTTCGTTGAAATATATACTCTTCTTTACAATTTTTAAACAAAAGAAGTATTGCAGCTTATCTCAAATTTCTCTTATAATTAACGTATAGAACATACTCGAGTGTGTACATTTCAAAATACTAATGTAGGTAAGTTGTTGTAAGTATACATAAGGTATACGATCTGAATTCTACTATCGCATTCTCTGCATAAAATTAACATGCATAATATTGTGTGAAATACGATAGTCGAGTTAGAGTTTGGATGTTGGTGCAGCTAAAGCTATCATAAACAAGCGAGTATTGATCATATGTGTTGAAGACTAATATGGAGAGGAATGAACTTTTTTAACTGATCAATGTATAAACTTCGTAGTCATCTTTTGCCTTATATAATAATTATAAACGTTTGGACGGATTACAATTAAAATTATACTTAAGCATATACTATCGTTTATTAACGAAATTATGTCATCCTCGTACGTATTAGAGCTCGTATTATTCCACGAGGTTCGATACGTACGAAAAACAAACATGTATGCAAAAATGCATCTAATGTATATTAAGGCATTTATGAGATGGTTAGTGTATTTTTCTACGAAGTGTTTAAGTTCGAATATGAAGACATATTGGCAAATACAAGTTAATATGCTCTTCGTTGATCGTTTACTGCCAGCGGCAGCAATCGGTTCTTCGATGTATATGTGTCTCCCATTCTTTGGTACCCAGTACTATATTCTTCCCGCATATAATTACGTTTTAATTTATAAATATAAATAATCTATACCGGTGGCGCGGGAGCCTTCCGAGGTATTTTATTCGAACTGGCGGCGCTGCATTGTGACTCGGCGATAGATCTACCGTCAGCCTCGTCTCTCCGGCAGAGCTCCGGCTCGTTTTGTATCCAATTCTGCGTTTGATTGTGACCCATCGCTTTCGCCGATTGCGACTCCTCGTTCTCGGTGGGCACGGTGCCTACTTCCTCCAGCAACTTCGACAAGGATGGCGCCAAACCTAATCCTAGATTTCGCTCGTGATACACCTCGGAGATCGTGGGCGTGAGCTCACGCGTCAGACTTGTCAGGGAGGTGGCCAGATTCCGCAAGTTTGGTGGATGCGTTTCTGTAGATTGTGTCGCATCAGTCTGCGGGTTGCAGATATCCTCGCTGGTCGCCGCAGAGTGCCGCAGTTTCCGCGATGAATTGGACGTTCCGACTTCCGTTCTCACGCTCAGCCTTTCCAGCATAGTGGCCGGCAGTGGCGGTAACGGCTGACGTCTCAATACAGTGGCGTGGCCGTTATCCCAATCTGTCACCGAACTGCTCGAGCTCGAGCCGGGTCTTAATGAGTTCTGATCAGAATAGAGATTCCGGATTCGCGTCTGATGATTCAAATTGAGCGCCACGGGAGGACTAGGTGTGAATGCTACGTCTGATTCACCTGGAACACATCAATACATTTAGAAAATTTCGATATTTTCGATTAATTTTTATATCAGATTCTTTTCTCGGATTATAAAGTTTTTTTAAATATTTATAATTTTTTAAATTATTTTTTAAATATTTAATAAATAGAAAGTTAACTTGCACGTGCTCTCTTTTGTAGCTTGAAATATTTATACATACCTCCACCATTTGGACACGGCTGTCGCGACGCTGGTATCAAGACATTCGGCGGTTCCATAGTTTTCCCGTCTGGTTCGCCACGATGTCGTACGTAACTTGTGAACGCTCCTCCCAGTCGAGGTCGTTCGACATTTTTCTCGGTATGAGCCACGGAAGCTAAACTTTCCATTGAACTGCTCGAATCTAAGCTAAGACTTTTCGGTGCTTCCTGTGTATCTGTAACACGTTACACGGATGTATATTATTGATCTATATTTATAATTAAAATTTCTTCTATTGTAAAAGTAAATATTATATTACATTAAATGTGTCAAATCGTTTTATTTATACGCTAATATATTGCATTGATATAAATTATTTAATTTACCAAACAATGCAAGAAGAGCTTGAAGAGCAAACTGGACGGCTCTACGCGAGGCTTGTTTGCCTGTTCTTAATGTCACTTCCGATTGTCCGACTTCCATCAAGTCGAAACCTAAGCTAGCAAACAGTTCATGCGATCCCGATGCTCTCCAAACGTATACAGGCAAAATAACTTCTTGTCCTTCCGTGGCACAACTGGCTCTTCTCATGGCAGCGATGACATCTTCTGCAGCTTCTGGTGCCTGTAAAATATTTCCAGCAATTGGAATCATTAAAAATTAAAAATATATATATTAAAAAATCATAAATAAAATAAATTTTTAAATATGATTAAAGTAAATCAGTACCTGTAAAAGCCTAGCTAAAGCATGCAACGATGATTGACCTAAGCCCAATAGAGCTTGCAAGCTGGCGCTGCATCTCGTCAGTCTCTCTTCGGGATCGCTTTGTGGGAAGAACACAGAGGACGGTATTCCGTTGCCGGCTGGCTCGAATCTGAATCCCACAGACATCAGAAGCTCTCGCCAACCGGTGGCCGCGCCCACCTTATTCTCAATACTGCGCTGAGTCGTATACATTGCGTTCTTCTGTCCGCGATGAATTCTCTGCAGTGATTTCTCCACTAGATGAAGTGTCACTCGCAGCGCGTCTCTACTTTGCTCGGGACCACCGCGCAGCAATTCTGCCAATGCCTGGCCCATGAGCGCAACCTGACGAAACAATAGAGAATGCAGCCGTTAAATGTCTCACACAATTAAAACCATAAAATACAAAACATCTAATCTAAAGGGAATACATTGTTAAATCAGATTTATTTTACCTTATTGGATAATCTCGCGTCTCCGCCAATGAGTAGCCAACCGGCCCAGTTAGCGGGATGAGCGAAATGTCTAGTATGCTGAACGGTCTGCATCGCTTCAGCCAGTGCACGCGATGCTCTCGCGCCTTGCAGCATCGCGCTATAGAAAGCCCGTAGCAGAATACTGCCGGCAGTTGGCGGTACCGCCCACATTCCTATCAGCACGCATTGCGCACCTGCATTTAACAGAGTCTTGGCGAGATTCTGTATACCGTCTGATGTAGCATTCGTGCACTCCACGTTATTCCAACCGTGACCTCTGGATACGACTACTAGACGAGCGGACATTTTCAATCTGAATAAATCCGCCTGACTTATGAGATATTCCGGTCTTTCGGATGGTTCCTCGCACTGATCGGGCGAAAACGCCAAGTTGCCGGTGTTCCAGAAGACCGGCACCGTCAAATGAACGCACTCCGCATCCGGTAGAGACCGTAGAACCGCCGATTTGGTAGCTTCGAGTCCTATTATGAGCAATAAGAGTGAAAAGTTTTTATCTTTCACAAAATTAGGAAACAATTAAAAAACTTTGTGTATATGTAGCAACAGTTGACACTAACCGGTCATCGCGCGGGCTTCCAACAATTCGGCGACTATCTCAGATTCAGTTTCGGTGGAAGCGACGCTCTCTGGCCAACTATACTCCTCTCGAATGTCCTCCGGTAGAACGGGATTTCCGACGACCAGCGCAGCCACAGTAGCACCACCTTCCAGTACAGGTGTCTTAGATCTTTTTCTGAGAGCTGCGAGAGATGGCACTACCAGCAACGAAAATCTCTCGCACAGATAATCTTCGCCCGGATTGGACTGTAAAGCCGGGAACGGTGTCAAGTAAAGCGACTTTTCCACCACCATGATTAGTTCCTTTCGCGGTGGCGGTAGCAGATCCTCGAACGGAGCAAGAAGAAGATCGTATAGCACTTGTATCGGTAACGGCGCCTGCCACGTAGGTCCTTTCGCGCCTCGTCCCCAACGTGCGCTTCCAGCGCGAGAGCTTACGGAACCGACGCTGAAGAGACTGCTTAAACTATAAGAACTGGCGTTCAAGTGATGACCCCTTGATGGAATCTTGGTGGATTCTTCGATGAGTTCATTGCTCTCGTCCAGGAGCGCTTCGCGCGCTTGAAGAACTCTTTTCTCTAGACCTACTCCGTCTTCCAAGGTTGCGGAGTGGAATCGTAACAATCCGCGTCCTGGTGCCAAGCACCATGCATGTAGTTCACATCCCACCTCGCTGAAATCATTTTGTTCAATCGTTTTTATCTTCTGAGAAACTCAAACAATAAAAAAACGCTTCGACAAATATTAAATACAATTTTAGATAATTACTTTAATTATAGATAATATTATATTTTACTTATGCTAAAAGTTAAGATATTTGTTTGCAAAAAGCTCGTACCTATAGTATAAAATAACCCCGCGCTGTCGATCAATGATCTCTGAATAATGAGCCGTATCATCCAGAGAATTACTCTTTGAACGTCTGGATCTTTCCGCCCAATTCAGAGCCTCTTCCGCTCGATTCAGGCTGATGAGTACTTTTTGCAACATTGTGTAAGTCTCTGATAGCAACTCCATTCGACTGAGTTGCCCGCAAGTAAGGGACACTGAAGTTCCGTCTAATGATTCTAACAAATTTGCGGCTTTTTCCAAGTGTTCCACGGAAATGCTTGCTTCTCCGGCTTCCCAGTGCACGAGACCAAGTCTGTGTCGCAATCTTGCGACTTCTTCCCTTCTGCCCAGACCCTCGGATAGAGACAGACCAGACTGCAGATAACTTAGAGCGCGAGGCAGATCGCCACATAGATGATGAAGTCTCCCCAAACTCGTGAAAGCCGCTGCACGAGCGGGTTGATCTCCCGCCGCAGCCGCTAAACTCAACGAT